AACTTGCCCTTCGGCACATCATCATGACATCACTTCTAAATTTCTAAGGCGCGCATTTTAACCCTATCCGTACGCCTGGGGTCATTTTGTACCCTAGGGGGTGTATTCTTCACATTTTAGAATACTTCTAGTGCGAAGATCTCTTTCAAACTTTCAGTATTTCTCAAAGAATCATTTTGACAGACTGCTATGCAAGGCGTAAGGATCTGATTAAAGAGTAAATTTCCTCTTTGGAAAGTGGTGGCACAGAGTTCCTCACGTCATATGGATACGATAGTAAAACACGACGTACGGATAGGGTTAAGTGGCGGCACAGAGTTCCCCACGTCGTATGGATACGATAGTAAAACACGACGTACGGATAGGGTTAAGTGGTGGCACAGAGTTCCTCACGTCGTATGGATACGATAGTAAAACACGACGTACGGATAGGGTTAAGTGGTGGCACAGAGTTCCCCACGTCGTATGGATACGATAGTAAAACACGACGTACGGATAGGGTTAAGTGGTGGCACAGAGTTCCTCACGTCGTATGGATACGATAGTAAAACACGACGTACGGATAGGGTTAAGTGGTGGCACAGAATTCCCCACGTCGTATGGATACGATAGTAAAACACGACATACGGATAGGGTTAAAAAAAGGGTAAACCATTCGGATCGTACTCGACTTACTACAAACCCCTGGGGGGTCTCCATTGTACATGGTCCCCACATCTGGGCCTCTGAAATGTCACCGGTCTCTCTCTCGGAGTCTCTTCCTACACAAAGACTTATGATGATCCCCTCAGCCCTCCCAAGGAATCGACAGTTACCAATCCCACCACCCAGCCCCTCTATACAAACGACAACTGATGGTGATGTACTCTACAGCTACCCCCCCCGCCCCAAAAAAAAAGAAAGGTAAATCATGACTAGACCCAATATCTTCCCTGTACTTTTTAGATTGAAGTTAAAGCACAAAAAAAACCCCATTGAGTCCTTGGGCAAACAGAAAAAAAAAAAAAGAGAGAGAGAGAGAAGAAAAAAGAGCCAAATCTATTCATATCATATATTTATAAATATGTACATGTAGTAAGTTTAAGAAGAAACAATTTTTTTGAACACATAAAGTCTTATACACCATCACAGGTAGTAGAGGGATTTTTTTAAAGGACATACGGGGGTCCACAGCTAAAAAAACTTCAACAAAAGAAAATATGGAGTTTAATTCTTTTCACAAAATATCCGCGATTCTTCCCTTGCAACCACTCACTTTAAAAACTTTCCAATTTTACATCTTCTAAGCCCACACAAAAGCCAACAATTTCTTATAATTATAAAAAGAAAAAAGATGCCACCTTAGCAAGTTTCCTGGCTTGTACAAAGTTCAAACACCAGAGGTTTTGTAAGTATTGAAGCTACATGTCCCATGCACCAGGCCACAACAACCAATATTTATCCTCTAGGTTAGTTATCCTGAACAAACTAAATCTTTTTCACTGTTCATGATTCATTTTCAAAATCTTCTTCCAAAATTTGTGGAACTCTACTTCCAGGTATATCAAAAATTCCGCAGAAGAAGTTTACAGTCAATAACCATGACAACCAGAAGTCCAACAACTCTTCCCTGACATCCTTAAAACATGGTCAGCCTTTTGCACGGCTTTACACAGAATCAGAGCTAAAAAAAAGAATTAAAAAATTATAAATTGTTCAGTAGTGGACCCCTGTAAGGAGAAAATAACTAGAGAAAACAGCACCAAAAACATTTTTCAAACTGAGCCACAAGATTTGTACATTATATTATATTATACACTTTCACAAAACCCAGTTTGAACAATTTTAGCCCCACAGACAAAAGCACACAGACAGACAGATAAGTTTGAGTTGTACGGACGCAGTGCTCAACATTTGTGATTTTAATTTGGACGACGTACCTCCCACAGACAGAGCTACATTTACACCAGTGAGCCATTCCTGTTAATCCCTTACGACAGATGGAAGGGCAAAATGTGTCCTTTTTGATGAGTAGGGGGTCACCATGAGTCAGCAAAACATCACTTGGCTACATTTTGATTTGTGAAAAAATTCAAACTTCCAAAGACAGTTTTAGTAAAGGGCGGCCTCCCCATCAATCTCTTCCGACATCTGCCCCGAAGCACATCAGATGTTCACGACTCCTTGGGACAAACAAGTCTGTCCGCGTGGTTTTATGCACCCCGCACAATTTAGCAAATTATGATCAATTTTTGCATAATTTCTCAGTATTTTCCTTTATCATTCTTTGTTAAAATTAACAGAATCGCATAATTTCATATTGTGGGCTCAGTTTGCTTAATTCCAGAATTTTTCTTGCATAAAACGATGGGGACAGACAAGTTGCTGCAGTGCACTAACTAGTGATGACCTAGATGCACTTGGCAAATTACTACAAAGTACAAGTAGTTCCTACTTCTACCGACACAAAACAAGTGTCCACTGGACAGGGTCATCAACAGTTGAAGCTGTTCATTTATTGCACATTTTACTTTCAACAAACAACAGTTTCCCCTGTACAGCCAAACTCCCATTGTGTAACAATGTCGTCAGACCAGACTTTCAAGTTCATTGAATCTGCATGTTCGCTATCAGAGAAAGATGCGACTTGTTTTAGCAAGAGTTTTACGGCACTTGCAACACAATAAGGTCATATAAGTGCTGAAGATTAGAGGTGTTACAAGAGAGTAACAAACACAAAAAAGAAGGACGATAGATGTTTGATAGGAAAGTAGGAGCAAACCACACCAGAGCACCCACCAACCACCCGCTAAAGATGTGACTAACGTGGGCATTTCTTCCTTGATAATGATAGGGATGTCTATTCTGAATGTATTACGATGCAAGTATAAAAGGAAAACACCAATGGTACCCAGAGCGCTTGCTCGTATGAGCAGTCGCTACTTCCCACTGCACAGCCACAGGACAGTACAGCTGGGCTTGCCTGGGTTCAGGGACTTGACACAATTACTTTTTTCCCTTGACAAAGGTAACAAAACGTTATTCTAGATTCCAAAACAGCCCACTACGATAAAATGATTGCCCACCATTTCTAGCCATTTCAACAACAAAATTTAGCTCCACTTTGAAGAAGCGACAAGCCACAGTTAACCCTTTAGTTCACTTATTCAGTGTCGTTTTCCTTGCTTACTATGACTCATGATGACCTGTCGACTTTGTCAGCGTTTTTCTGTCCCAGTGCAGCTGGCTTCCAGTGGCAGAGACACTGTGTTGCAGAGTAGCTACGATCAATTATTTCTCTACACTACAAAGAAAAACGAGTTCCTGCAAACAAGGGGGAAGTAACCGTGCGATTCGTCCCAACATGAAAAAACTTGAGACCACATCCAATCCAATTACTGACGAACGCCAGGGGTAAAAAAACCAAACCAACAATAACCACATCATAATCTGTGCAACACTCAGCGGCCTTTACACAAACACATCACATCATTTGGTCGCTTTTAAGGACAAGCGGACTAACCCAGATTTTGGGAGTTTCCAGAAATCTTGACCTACACCAAAAGTGGGCATTGCCCTACCTATAGGAGAAGTTTTGTTTCAATGGTGTGTATATTTATTTAGTTATAGAGAAAACTCTCCTTGTCTTTTAAAGAAGCTGACCAAGGGGCAAAAACTTTACCTTCGATTTTCTTTAAACAGCATTTTTCGGGATAGCCCCCTTGTGCTTAAAAGCGATCAATTACAGCCCTGTCATAACATGTCTCCCTGTACATCATCACAACAACGCAGTCCTTGCCTGCTCCCCCCACCCCACCCCCCGCCCCCAAACAGTC